GCGGCAGGGTTATTCAGTAAATATGATGGTAATAGTATTGAAAGTCTGCATGTAATTCCGTGTAATAATAGCCTGTGTACTTGCTACGGTGTAAATATCCTTTCTATGTGTTTGGTTGAAAGCTGAAAGAAATGTTTTATGCAAAATGCACCATTGGATTGTGTGTGTGTCTGTATTTCTACCAGCTTAACGCTCATCATTTGGAGAAGATATATGCAGCTTTAGCTATGTGTGGGCATAAATTGTTCATTGGAGTAGGGCATGCCAATTTCAGCTAAGGTCTCTTCTTAATTTTGATTGTGCATCTCCCTTGTGGTTACATGTCAAAATATGACACATCAGCATGGGCCAAGCTGGATTTAATGAATAGGAAACCATGGGATTTATATGATTTGGGGGCATGAGGGGGATTTTCTAATGCCGGTTCCGAAGATAAGTGGCACAAAGGTTATTTGATTAATTAGACATGCATAAACTCTCACTTCAGCTTCCTGCCCATCATCTGAACATAAAACACTGCAGATTTGGTGGCTCTGCACCCCAGAATTAAAATTGGGGGATGTCTTTTGCCACTATCAGAATAGTATTTTATTTAACATGATGTTGTCTTTAAGGTAAGCTTTGGCAGTGCCCTGCAGATGTAGTCATTTCACGTGTGTGGTCTCTTCTGACAAATTAATCAAAGGCACCATTTCCCAGAGTTCGAAGACCTTTGTGATAATGACCATCATTGGAAGTTTCTGTAGAAAGTGCCACCATGTTTGTGGACCTGGAACTTATTTAGGAAGCAGAACACCTTTGTGAGATATGATTCATTCACACTCAACTTTGATGCTTGTGAGATTATGTATTTGCACACAGTTAGGCTTCTTTGGGAAGATCCAGAGGCCTGGATTGGCTTAACTGTCAGATGAGGAAGAGAGGAACATGCAGTGCCAATGGTGACTGGGCAGTGCTGGCCAGTGAGCCTCTGCCACCAGGACCACAGGGACAATGAGATATACTGCATGAAGGGGTATCCACTCCTCTCCTCTAGGGAGGACACAAACACAGAGGTTCCAAGTTAGCCATTCAAACCCTTTTTCTTCCACTAAGGAGAGCCACCACTACAATCACGACATCTTGGTGACTTTGAAGAAAGTTAATAATAAAGTTTAGCAATAGTTGTAACAAAGTCAACCCCTGAAAGAACCTGATCTGTAGATTCCAGTGTTTTATTGCTAATGCCACTATTTCTTGTGTTGTATAGTGGAATTAAACAACCCCTTTACATGAATCCTGTTTCACAGTGACAGGGTAATTATTTGTCTTTCTCCAGAAGATACACAGGGCAGGCATGACTGCCCACCTTACAGTTTAGGACACTGACTATTTTTCTCTTGGTAGGAATCTAGCAAGTTGTGGTACTGAGTTCCAGCGTGGATGTGCCTACAGGAAGCTTTGTGCTGTCACTGTAGCTATTGCCCGTGGAAGGAACTGCTGAATGCAACAGTCTCAAAAGTTGAACTCATTCCAGTTTTACAGTGTTGGACGGAGGCCTGGGGAAGATATATTAGTCTAGAGTTTTCTAGCCCTCTTCGGTGCCGCTTGCTTAGGCCGCTCAGGTTGTGATTAGAAACAGCCTTTTGTATTGACAAAGAAATCTGTCTTTCAAAGAATTTGATAAGATTGCATTTTTGCCATATTTGGTCGAATCAAAGGCACTTAGAGGTGTAGTTGGCTTGGTGATAAAGGGGCAGAGTGGAGGGATTTCACTCTTGTTCTTCATACCTCTGCATTTACTTATTTAAATTGAAAATCAGTTTTCTTCTTGAAATGCCTTAAAAGGAAGAAAAACAATGTGAAGATTGGTGGCTCATGAGACTCATTAGAATACATGTACTCTGGCTCTAGGTCACAGCAGGCTCCTCATCTCCTGGGGTGTTTACCTGTGACCTAGCTCTCCATCCTCTTCTGTGGAGGAGAGCAGGCAGTCTGATTCCTGGTCTACCTGTTACAGCATTTTCTTCCTTTCTTCCTGAGACAGGGCCTCACTGTGTAGCCCTGGCTGTCCTTGAACTCACTATATAGACCAGCCTGGCCTTGAACTCACAGGGTTCTGTCCACAAATGCCTCCCAAATTCGGGAATTAAAAAATTATATATACCACCACAGTCGGCTAAAGACTTATATTTATTTGTTTGTTTGCTTATTTACTTTATGTATTTAGACCTTTTGCCTGCATGCATATCTGCATACCAGAAGAGGGCATCTGAGCTCATAGGACTACTTTTATAGATGGTTGTGAGCTGCCATGAGGGTGCTGGGAATTAGACCCAGGACCTCTGTGCTATTAAATGTTGAACCATCTCTCTAGCCTCTGTTGCAGCATTTTTATTCCTTCTATCACTGATCATAGACACCCTAGTTTTGTGAATGGTGGGGTTTCCAGGAGCTGTTGGAAGGACAAGAATAAAACAATCACATCCCTATCGCTTTCTTTCTGGAGCAGAGCAATGCTGTAGCTTGGGTATTTGAGTGTCTTCTTTTGTGTAGTATGCTGTGTGGGGACATGTCTGAGGGATTTGTTCCATTTTGTTTCTGTAAGAAAATGGCAGTCTGACCAAGGAGGCTGTAAGCAGCAATTGCCACAGTACTTAAAAACACCGGACTTAGAGAAGGTGTAAATGATGATACGTTTGGAAAGTTCCAACATGAAAAATAAGATAGAGGAGCATAGGGGTGCGATCAGGGGAGAGTGGCTAAGGGGGGAAGCCTTCCTGTGATAAGGTCAGAAAGAAGGCATGACACAACATTTGGATTGTTAACGACCAGGGACGCTGAACAGGTATTCATCAGGCTGAGGTAGAAGACTGTATGGGAGGTTTCTAAGTAGTAGAATGGTTAGAGTAGAAACGTATTTCTTATATGTTCATTCAGGGTCTTTTAGAGAAGTCCTTAAGCTAGGTGCTGTGGAGAACCAAGATGATGTACCTCTATCCTAGAGAGGAAAATGCAAGCAGCACTAGGGAATGTGGGGGGCAGGGGAGGTGGCTTTATGAGGGCTATTATCTATGGTGGGAGAGACAACTGGCATTTCAACCAGACTAAGGTGAGCAGAGACCTGTGAGTGTAAAGGAGTGCTGCACACTTGGGAATGGTTCCAGAGATCTAGCTGTGGACATACAGCAAGAGTGGTTTGGGGAGAGTCATGAAGGAGAAAGAAAGGGGTTCCATGTCATGTGGAGTGTTCAGGTCATGAAATCTGGCAGAAATCCCTTAAAAGAAAATGAATTTGACAGGAAATCTGCTAGGAAGTGATTGTAGAAAAAATGTGTGTGTGTGGTGTGTGTGTGTGTATGTCTGCTTGTCTGTTTAAGTGCCTAGGGTTGTCAGATCCTCTAGAACTTGGAGTTGCAGGCAGTTGAGAGCTGCCTGGTATGATGAGTATGGAGAGTTGAACCCAAGTTCTTTGCAATAGCAGCAAGTGCTCTTGGTGTTGAGCTTTCTTTACAGCACCCAGCCTAAAGTTTGAACAGGAAAGTGACATAATAGAGGTGGCATTTCATTTACCTAATTAAAAATTTCAAAACTGCTATAAAGTTGTTTTTCTCATTATAAAAGTAAAATGAATTAATTTCAGGAAAATTCAAAAGCAGGAAAACAAACAAAAACAACAAACCCAATTAAACAAGAAAATAAACAGTCTGCATAGTCCCTGTCCCAAAGACACAGATTAAGTCACTGACATTTTGTTGCATGGTGGACTTCCCTGTGCAGACATATGTTCTGAAGACAGCCTGGGAGGAGTTGGGACTGGTGCCAGCCTCTGTACCCCCAACATAGGCCATGTGGTGTCTCTCATTCTCACTCCCTAGTGTTTATAAAATACGTGGGAAGTAAAGTCAAAACCCTCTTTGTGTTATCAGCTCACAAAATGGTTGAGATTGTGTTCTGTTTTGTGACTTTCTATAAAGGCTCTTTGCTTCACCCAGCTTCTTTCCAGGCAGGTGTCTGTGCATTACTAGGGGATGGGGATATTGATGTTTCTGGGTTTTCTTTTCAGTTTTAGAACAATGTAAGATACTGTATTGATTCTGTAATCCTGGAGAGAATGAGATGAGGTGATAGGAGAGTGGGTTTTTTTGTTTTGTTTGGGGGGGTTGATTGTTTTGTTTTCATCAGTGGGGAAGAGGCAATCCCCTTGTCCTGGTAGAAAAGTAGACAGGAGACATGCCACCACCTCTGTGAGGCACTTCTGGCTCCTGAACTGGTCTTTCTCTCTCTCTCATCTTGGCGTTTTCCTTTTTGTCCTTCATGGCTTGATGAGGACTTTTCAAATGAGAAGACAAAGACAAAGCTTTTCTAATTTGAAGAATCGAATTAAAAAGTTTTTCTTTTACTTGTATCATTATGAGATCTATAGAGTCCCAATTCAAATAATGATCAAGCAGAACAAACCAACAAACATGTTTAAAGTTTGAACTTGAGAGCATAATTTCCTCCCCTTTTATGTAGCTGTTCCCTCCCTCCCTCCCTCCCTCCCTTCCTCCCTCCCTCTCTCTCTCCTTCTCTCCCTCTCTCCCTCTCTCCCTCTCTCCCTCCCTCCCTCCCTTCCTCACACACAGACTTAGAATTTTGTTGAACTTAAGAATAATGTCAGCCATGGTCTCATGTATGCAGTGGTCCCATAAGATTGTATTGCCTGGTGAAATGGTAGCTGTCTTAGTTTTTGTGCCCTCTATGATTTCCCATTGACAGAATTGCCTAATGATCCATTTCTAAGAACACATCCCCATTGTTAAAGCAGCGCAAGACTCTCTGTGTATGAAATGTATGTGTATATTCACATTTGATACTTTCTCATATGTGTGGATTATACCTATATAGTTTTGAGTCTTCCATTTTCATTTATCATTAGATATCACTCCATTTGCTTTGCAGATTGCTAATGGTCAGTTATGTGAATACACCTCAATTTGTCTAGCTGTCCTTTTGAGTATTCTGATGATTACACAAACATGTGCCGTGGTGACCATTACACAGAAGGTACTGATATATTGCTGACAGTTTCTTTAGCTCTTTTAAAACATATTTTATGTGTATGGTGTTTGCCTGCATGTGTGTCTGTGTACCTGTTGTATGCCTGGTGCCTTCTGAGGCCCAAGATGACTTTGGATTCCGTAGAACTGGAATACAGATGGTTGTGAGTCACTGAGTGGATTAGGAAATCCAGTCTTTCTCTGGAAGAGCAGCCAGTGCTCTTAATCACTGAGCCATCTCTCTATCTCCCACTAGTAAATTCTTAAAGATGGAAGTATTGATTGGAGGCTGTGAACTTTTATAGAGTTTTTGATAAATTGTGAAATTTCTCTTCAGAAAGATTTATCCATTTTGGTACCAGAAGCAGCATATAAAATTTCTTCCTAGAATTATCTAGATTGAGGACCATACTTTTTAGTAATTTGCCCACTTGCTAGGTAAAATGATAATTTTCATTTGCAGTTTTCCTTTCTTGTATTAATGTTGAGACTCCTCCCTGTCCCTTCTTTCCTTTTCTCTCTTCCTTCCCATTCATGTCCTAACTGGATCCAGCTTGTGATTTTATAATATATGTGTTTATATGTATTATAAGTATCTATCTTAACTCTGCCTCTTCTGTGTTACGTATTTTTCCCTCAGTTTATCTACTTATAGGCATGTAGCCTAGGCTGGCCCCAAAGGCAGACAGTGAAGTTAAGGATGGCTTTGAACTTCTGATCCTTTTGCCTCAGGCTTCCCAATGGTAAAATGGTAGTTAGAAACTACTATGCCAGGTTTATTCTTAATTTTTAACCCTGTGGTAGTTTTTTGATGTATAGAAGTATATATTTTTGTTCTCTTTCATTGCTTTAATAACTAGGAAGACCTCTGTTTTCTTCTTGTTTTATGGACTTATTTAGAAATCATGATTCTTTAATTCAATGAGTTGTAATAATTACTTTTAAATATGCGATAAGAAAAGACACAAGTGTATTTTTCCCGAATATTTTGTACCCACCCCTTTTCCCCAAAGGGTTTCTTTGTGTAAGAGCTCTAGCTCCTGTTCTGGAACTCTCTTTGTAGACCAGGTTGGCCTTGAACTCAAAGAGAGCCACCTGCCTCTGCTTCCTGAGTGCACCTGACTGTTTTCCCTGAATATTTTATCTATTATTTCATAATCCCACAGTGAACTTATTGAAAACCTTATTTTATTCATGGCTTACTAACATCATGAAGCTATGCATTAGAAGAGCTGATGAGACACTAAGAGGCTAGGATCACATGTGGGCAGTTCTATTATTATTAAATGTAGGAGTTGAGTGAGACTAGTAAAGGTCGGGCCTTAAATCCAGTGTAACCTGAAGGTAAGAGGAAAGAATGTGATAAAGTCTGAAAACTAGCGCTTAATGTTTCAGAGCTTGCTGTGCATTCTTCGTTTTGATTAGAATTTTATAAATTACCTGTCCCTGTGCATGGAGCAACCAAGAAGTAAATTAAGGAATTCAAGGGACTGTGGAAAAACCTGGCTGTCCAGGCCATGTTCAAGTGGTGCCATCGCTGTCCCCTGCCTCTCAACTTAGAGCATGTCCTGTGACATCATGGCATGCAGATAACTTCCATATTTATCAGTTCCCTAGACTTTCAAGGCAACTTAGTATAAAAAGGCATGCATTGAGTATTATGTTTTGTTTTTTTCAAGATCTGGAAAGCTGTACCCAAAGACCCCCAGTGTTTAATAAAGCAGCACCTATTCTTTATGTTCAGAGAAATGTGGACACTGGTAAGTGCCGAGGAGCCAGGGATACAAAAGAAGGTTCTTGCTCATCAGTTGCTCTAGTAAACAGAAAGGCAGAGCTTGGACTGACCCTGGAGCCTGTGACTCCAAGTAGTGCTGTCTCTAGGGCAACCTACCATCTGGAGTGTGTACTCCCTGCATACAGCCAGCCTCTTCAGCTAAGACTGGTAGTAGATGAGATTGGGTTGTTCTATTTGTGGGAGCTCCAGGGCCATCTTTTTCTTGAGGAGTCATCTGACTGCTCATGGCGACTTGGGTTGAATTGATGTGATTCATTCTTTGTGGTTTGGAAGCTCCTTGTACACCAACAGTGCTTCCAGCTAGAGGGGAAGTTTGGCTAACTGAGTGTTTCCTGTAGGCTGCTGTAGGGTGAAGTATGTTTTACTGACATCTTTGTTTTGGTAAAATTGGTGTGAGGCTAGATTGGGTTTTGACCTGTGCATCTTTAAAGCATGTTGTAATTTGTGCTTTCATGCAAGTGATGTCAGACAAAATTATTTTTTTGAATTTTTTAAATTAAAAAATAGTTTTCATTTTACATACCAACCCCAGTTCCCCCTCACTCCCTTTCTCCCACCCCCACCCCTTTTCATTCTCCATCTACTCCTCATAGGTTGTAAGGTCTTCTTTGGGTAGTCAACAAAGTCTGGCATACCAAGTTGAGGCAGGACCAAGCCCATATCCCCTGATTAAGACTGAACAAGGAATTCCACCACGGGGAGTGGGCTCTAGAAAGCCCGTTCATGCACCTGGGATAGGTCTTGGTGCCACTGCCAGTCCCCCAACAGATCAAGTCACATAACTGTCACCCACATTCAGAGGGTCTAGTTAGATCCCATGAAGGTTCCCCAGCTGTCAGTCCATAGTCGATAAGATGAGCTCCTACTAGCTAGGGTCTGTTGTCTCTGTGGTTTTCCTCATCATTGCCTTGACCCCCCCCACACTCATATGATCCCTCCTCCCTCTCTTACACTGAACTCCAGGAGATGAGCCCAAGGCTTGGTCACTACACCTGCTTCCTTCTGTTACTGGATGTAAGTTTGTAGGGATTTGAACATGGGTAGAGAATGGGTAGGGGGAGACATGGCTAGTACAGCCATGTTGTAGTTGTGTGGTTTGTTGGTAGCCTTGAGAATATAGGAGCTGAGGTTTGGGTGTGTAGTGATCCCCAGAGGAATGAACAAGAAAAGGATCTGAGTCCTTCCCAGAGGCCAGGATCCAGGTTCTTGTGGTGGTGGGGAACAACATTCATCCACTAAAATAAGAGAAAAGTCACATGAAACAATTATTTTGATGGCATTTAATACTTCAAACACAGTGGACTTGAGTGACCCTGTTGGATGAGTGCATGTGATAATTAGATTTCTGTATTGTGTTGCTTTCTACTTTGGTAGCCTGTACATATCTTTTAAGGGCTCTTTTATGGGTGCTAGATCAAAAGCTTGGCATCTCTAATTCTACATTGATTCTTTATTATGCAAAGTATATTTTAGTATCACTCAAAACCGTATTTTAAAGAAAAAATATTTTTTCTTTGATATTCTGATAAACATGCACCAACATTGCAGTCTAGAAAGTCTTTGCAAACTAAACAAATTTAAAAAAGAAAAATTAGGTGTCTCTGAATTTTTGTATTGGTGGAAGCTAGTCTGTCTGAGGAAACTTTTAAATAATTCTGAAATGAAACGAGATTGGTGTGTTTGAGAATAGAGACTAGCAATAAGTCTGTCCTACTGATTTTGTTGGTTAGATTTCATGTCTGTTTTATTTTTTACATGTAAGCCTATATTCAAAAGAATGAAAATTATATCGATAGGGTAATTCTTTATTGTTTGTATAGTCTATATAAAACAGTGTTTTATATTTTTTATCTTACATTACTGTTCAGTGTACTTTTTATAGGTTGCTATAGAATCATTGTTTCTATGTGTGTTTTCAGATTGACATGTTGAATAAAGAAATTGATTTTCTTTGGCATAAAACTAAGTATAGAGTCATGCAGGGAAAACCTTTGGAAAACAAATAGAGCAATCCCCTTGTCAATGCTAATGTGTCAGCTTTTCAAGCTCCTTGCATGAGTGGAGTGATAAGCAATCTAAGAACAAGCATTTGGTATTGATTCTCCAGCCTCAAGTAACAAGTTACTGCTTCACTTCTTATTGAGAATTAAATCAAAATAATTTGGTGCCTATATTATGTCTTGTGAGAATTCCTTTGCATGATTTATATCCTGCAGTGGAGGAAGATAGATGTTGAAAAACCACATGACTTTACAGTTGTATAACTTTTTATCTTTATATGAATAGTGGGTATAAAGGTTCTTAAAGGTTGTGTAGAACAGTATTATGGAATCTGCATTTTTGTTAACGCTGATGGCTCTATGTAGATTTTTCTCTTTGAGAAAAACAGCAAGTGGGAAATGCTTATTTGTTAGGGACGCACAGACCATTTTGCAGATCAGAGCCGATTATTGCTTAAAGATAATGTGAGAAATAAAAGTTCTGTACTGTTCATGGTTCTCACAATTAAAACAGGAAACTTTAGCTGGGCACTCTGTGTCACAGATGTGTCAGAGAGTATTGTTTTTTTTGAGAGTAAAAATTCATTTTCAGAATTTACCAGCTGATACATGATTTAAGTTAATTTCAGAGAGGCTTAAGAAATCAGTGATACATTGTTGTATAGTTGGGATGTTAAAAATAAATGCAGTTAATCTTAAATATTTCTCTTAATGTTCCCTCTTACTCCCAAGGTTTAGGACACAGTTTTAATTTAATTTTATTATTACTTATTTTTCGTTTTGTTGGTGATGGTATTTTTGAGGCAGAGTCTCCCTCTGTATCCCAGGCTAGTCTGGGACTTACTATGTAGCCCAAACTAGCCCCAGACTCATGGCATTCTTCCCGCCTTAGCTTTGTGAGTGCTGCGACTACAGGCCTGGCTATTTTTTTCTTTTTCTTCTTTTGAGATAGGCTCTTGTGTAGCTCAAGGTGGTCTCCAGCCCACTATGTGGCTGAGGATGACTAAATAGAATTCTTATTCTCCTGCCTCTACTTCCCATGTGTTAGGATTATGGATATGTAATGTTGAAGTTCAAATTCAGTGCTCTATACATACTAATGGCTATTCCTGACATTTGTCATCATCACCATCAGTATCTCATTTGAGTTACTGCCTCAATGTGTAGCCCAGGCTGGCCTTAAATTTATAGTCCTCTTGCCTCAATCTCCTATATGCTGAGATTATAGATTTATACTACTGTACAGTTTCATGTGTATCAAACTCAATATAGCATAGCTCTGTATGTGCTAATGCCAGGCTTCTTAATCCTATTCTTATTTTCAGTCACTGTCTCAATGTGTAGCCCAGTGCTCCTCCTTCCTCTTCCCTTTAAGTGTTGGAGTAAATATATGTGCTACTATGCCCACCTTAGCATTTTTATTTTTTAATATTGAGATTTATTTCTTCTCCATATATACATATAATATATTGGTTTGTGGTTTTTGAAAGGAAGTTCCACATCCAGACTTACATATTTGATAAAAGAAGTCATAAAAATATGGTACATCTAAAGTTCTGATATACTTGTCTCCAAATGAGTTCTAGCAGTTGTATGTGGAATTATCATTGAATGTTGGCAAACTGATTGCAGAGTAAGTATTCAAAGTACAAAAGATCAAGAATGACAAACAAGCTAGTCTTAGAAATTCATTGAAGGATTTATTGCACAAGACTTTATTAAATCTAATTGAGGGATGTAGTATTGGTACAAGGATAGATAGGCTTGAAAAGGATCTCCTCATCTTGTTGTTTTTCTCTGTGTGTAGGTGTGTCTGCCTGTCTGTGTATGTGTAAAAGACCTAACATATCACCAAAGTTGTCTCTGCAGAGCATAGAGGGCATGTAGTCATTGCAAACATCGGTGCTGAGTCAGTTGGACGACCATATGGAGAAGAGTTAACAACAGTCCCCATATTGCATCAGAATCCGTTTCAGCCCACAGCTACAGTTGGCCGTGCACAGTGTGAAGCTGCGGTCAGGTTCGGTTCAGTGAGTTGATTGGAGCATCAGCAGAACACAGATCACTGATCAAATTGTACAAAAAGTTGCAGAACCTCAGAACTCTCCCTAGGCATCCTTCTAATCATCATCCTTAGCCCCTCTCCAGAGGTAGCCATTATGTTCAATCCCAAGACTATAAATTACAGTTACTTTGTGCATTTAGTTTGTACACCATAGAGATACAATTATATAGTAGGTGTCCTCTCCTGCTTTTTCCATTCAGTGTTGCATTATCACATTTATTTATGTTGTTACATGTAGCTGCAGTTCTTAGAGATTACAGAGTGGCGCTTAAGGGGATGGGATAGCCACATACATCATTTGGATTTCTGTCTGCACAGGAGACTCATCCTGTCTCTTCCTTACCCCATTTACTTATCTGCTTAATAATTTGTTTTTGTCAGTGTACTGATGGATATTTATTTATGCTTTAGGTAATCTAGTACCATTTGATTCTGTTGTCCACATTTCTCTGGCTTCAGCTTTTAGAAGATGTTTTAGCTGGCTCCTGTATCCCTTTAACATTTACCCTGTATTGTGGTAGCAGTGTTGTTTCGAGCAATTTCTTGCTTTTTGCACAGCAAGGTATCTCAAACCCATCTATGTATTTTTTTTTTTACCCTGCTCCTAAAATTTGCTAATTATCTAAATAGCCCTAATTCTTTTCATTGGATAATGGTGTTAGAAACCAAGATCTGAAGCCAGACACAGTGGTGCATACTTGATAATCCCACATTTGGGAAATAGAAGCAGGAGGATCCGCTGTCAGGAGTTCAAGGCCATCCTCAGCTATGTACTGAGTTTTAGGCCAGCCTAGGTTGCCAGAAACCCTGTATTAGAAAAAGACAAAATAATATCTGGGGAGATGGACAAGAGTACTTGGCTGGCTGTGAAGGCAGGAGGATGCGAGTTCAGATTTCCAGTACCCACATACAAAGCTGGATGTGGCTGCACACATCCCGTGTGTGTGTGTGTGTGTGTGTGTGTGTGTGTG